AATCTAAATAAATAGCTCCGTCACAGACTAGCAGATACATACATCATAAATTAAAACGATGGATTGAGAAAATATATTATGAAGAATGTTATCCGTAGGTCTATCGAAAATGTTATTTACAGCTTTGTCATTTCCAACTATGGATTTCTTTACGAGTTTGATAGTTTAACTTTTTCTTGATTATGATCACTGCTTGGATTTTCATTGTGACAACTGATTATGACGATCATGGGACTGACCCAAATCTGCCAAGTGGCAACCCTATCTCAGGCATGCGCGCACGCACCTGGCCGATCCTAATTACTGATCTAACGGCGTTTAGGGCAGCCTTTAATTACAGACCGAGCACAATGCTAGCTGTTATGGGTACAGTCGTACTTTGAAACTTTAGACTTTTATTGATTTGAGACCTTGTCATTGAGGAAAGCGGAGCGGGAGCGTCTCGCGTTAATGAGAAATTATTAAAAAAAACACCGGGCGAGACTAGCGTAAAACGTCATATTCTATAGGTATACATTTCCCTTGTCAATTGTATCTATGCCTAAATTATAACAGTAGCAGCAGTAGTAGCAGTGTATAAAAGAAAGACAGAAGATTGGAGATAGGACTTAGATGATTCCGTCCTTATGCTCTCACTACTGCTACTTCTGCAAAGTCACTAACTCGTCTGTGAGGGAAGATACCAATCATATTAACTTTACAGTTAGCCACCACTGGCATGGAGATTCGAACGTAATATTCTATATTATTTTGTACTCGAAAGTATCAAAAAAGTTTGTTGGAAGCGAAAAACGCCATCCTTTGTTGTATGACAGATCCCCAAACCTGTCCAGCGGGTCTGAAATAAGATATGTTATTGAAGCTAACTGTAGAGACCTGGCTTATGAAATAACTCTGCAATTGACGGTTGCAATGCCGGAATCAAAATTTATGGTGTATAAATGAATTCCTTGCAACAAAGTTGAATCAGAGGCACAAAGATAATGTTCTTGGAGTCTGTTATCTAGGTGGAATTTGACCAATTCGGTGTTTTGAAACAAGTTGAGTTTGTACAATCTAGTAATTGTTGCACAAACGCTGATAAACGTAAGTAGTTAATAATTTAATAAGGTTCCTGAGTGTACCTACATAGTCTGTATAAAATAAAAAATGCATTTCAAACAAATAAAAGACGTCTGAGATTAATTTTATACTTAATTAATAATTTGAATTTGAATTTAAATTTTATACTTAAGATATTAGGTAAGCTTCAACAAATTATATTAAGCTTATTTAATTTATGTAGGTGGTGGCTGAATTATTTTCTATTAAAATTAAACTAAATGAATAAAAATGAATAATCCAAAGGAAATGATCGCAAAATTGTGGTTTAATCGAATAGAAAAAGTAGGTCCTTTTAGTCNCATTAGTCAAAAGAAGCCTTTAAAATTAGACCCGTATTCAACCACAGAACCATGATTCAAGAGCCGACCGGTTATTGACATAATGCGACTCGCTAAGTATTTAAGTAAGATTTACTCCAAACGCATTAAAATAAGGCTCGATGGCGTATCTTACTCGGACTTTAATGAGATCTAACGCGTGCTCTGATTGTGTGGAATTTATGGTGGGCGAGGGGCATTAGAGCACCTGTCGGCTTGCCATAGTGATGGGGAATGACTCCATTGAAGGTGATCGAGTAACGAGAGTAGAGTAAAAATACTCTGAATTTGGTATGAATTCATGTACACAAATATTCGGACCTCATTAAGAGCCTGTAACGCTGCTAATGCACTTTTACTACGGAATTTTAGGGAACTGTCTAAAAATTTGCCAATGTAGAGCTCAGGAAAGCTTTTAATTAAACATAAATTACAACGCAAGGAATTTATTAACTAGTTTTTGTGATTTCCGGAAATAAAATCTATGTTATTTTCATGGTAATTTAACGCATATTATTATATTTTATTGGAGGATATGTGTGTCAAATAAACATGAAAATAAAATAGATTCTCGAATAAAATATGTGCGTCATTATTGTAATTCTGGGCCTAGTTAATCTAAACCTAAATACTTCCAATTTTAAAGGGCAATTGCCAATTACAGATACTCAATCACCCAATAATATTTAAGTTGCGATGTTAAAAGTCAATTATTTAGACTAAATCGAGTTTGATTGGGTATAAATACTTTAGTCCGTTGACATTTCCCATCACTAGCGGCGAGATAATCCTGCCGTCTGCGCAGGCGACGCGCGGAACGACTTGATGCATTAACCACCATCGGTAAGAGGATTAAAGAGCTTTGATTTAGATTAGAACGAGCGTACGGTACAGTTAGCGATAACAATGTCTGGGACGTGCGAACTAAACGATGATGAGCGAGCGGTTTTGTTTTGGGGCTTCGACCCGCATTGGTGAAGCAATCCTTTTATCTGACAGATGAGCCATCACTAAAAAAGAAATGACAATCTGCATGTTTCAAATTATGCCAACTTCCTATAACAAAAAAAAAATGATTTCTTTGTCATGGAATGTGTGAAAAATTCCATGAAAACTTTTGAGGAATGAAAGAAAATGAATCACGTGTGTTTTTAATTTTATAAATAGGTGAAAGCAAAAACCAGACATTTCAAGCCTATTTAATAATATAATATTTAGTGTTTCAATAAATTATTTTGTGGATGGGTTTATCAATTCAAACTTTAGTGGGTCATAGTTATTTAATTTTTAGCGTTAAGAGTCGCATCTCAAACTAATTTGAAAATTATAAATAACTTGAATCGTGGCTTCAATTCCCGTCTTAGGCAGTTCGATTTTTTCAAGTTATTTATAATTTTCAAATTTAGTGGGTCATGTCAAGATGTAACAGATAAAATAATTTGAGTTGCCTTTTGGAGTTGGAGAACAAATCCTCAATTAACATTATCTAGACATCAGTTGAAGCTAAATATCCCGTTTAGAATAAATAAGATAATAAATCGTAGCCAATGTGTGCAGCTTTATAGATTTTATTTACCTATGCGACCGAAAACGGCAAAACTTAATATTCAGAATGCGTTGTTTAATAAATTAAACAACCACAAAATTACGCGTTTAAGTTCAAAATGATGTAATGCGCACGTAGGTGTCTAATAAATTCATAATTAGGATTTATCTGTGTGCTAAAATTTGAAATGCAAATAGCTACAGAGTACAGGGCTCCATATATGTGGTGTGGGGACTGTATGGTTGTACAAAGGCCGTATCTGATGCATGCTCGCTTGAGTTACGGCCTGACGTCACCCGGCTGGCGTATCGGAGGAGTCAGGCGTCGTAACTCAAAAATAGGTGTAGCTTATAAATTGAGCCCGCTTAAAAGAAAGGAAAATAATGGGATGTTTTAATGGGAACGCGATCACATGAATAGATTCAAGTTCATCAAAGAACGTATCCATTACAATATGATGTTTTTTATATTTTTTATAATTTAAATAGAAACTTCTTTAAGTATTTTTAGCAGCAGTATTCTAGCTAGCAAAGCCCAAATAAGACTTGTATACTTAATGAATATTGAATTATGCCATTTACGGAACCACTGGAGGCATGGCGGCGACATGCTCCCTAATGTCTTAGAAGCCTCCTGGAGGGCTTTCTCGGTGCGCCATCGATGTCGCTGTTCATCCCGACTTCTCGATTAGTAATCGTTAAGAACAGAAGCATCGGAATGGTAGAGACTTGTACTAATCTAACAAACATGTATCCGAGACTGGTGCTGCGTTCAAATGCCGTGTACTTGGAAGATACAATGTTGGACACTTGGACAGACTTGGCACATCAAACAATATTGTGGAATTGAATTGTGGTTTTAAGAATTGCGAATTTGCAAGAATATTGCTCCTATGGTCTGATATACGAGTATCAGATACAGTCGACTATTACGTACTCGTATACTGTAACTATTGCGTTAAAAATTATGTTAAAATTAAAATTCGTGTTTAACTAATGACATTTATCTGCCGTATTAGAATTTTCTTTATGGTTATTTTCATCAGTTTCTATTATAGTCTATTGCCTGTTACGCAAACGAATAATCCAAACATACAATTTGTGGTTTTACATACTGGTTCCATTATCTGTTTCTTTTGTGACATAATGCGGTTTCGTTTCGTAACTGTTTTCACTTTTATCACACCTCGTGGGTGGATTTGGCGTATTTTCAACTTAATAGTCGGATTAAGGGTCTCAATTACAATTCGACGGCGGCCGTAAATCCGAAGGACTCAAGCAGTAAATTTTAATGACTCCGATCCGATGTTGTATGGTAAAATAAAAGGACAACAAACGTTAATGGATGCAGGATTTGAGGAACACATAAATTTCAATGCTTTTCGATTAAGAGGTCTCTATGGGAACCGGAGGCGTGCGGTTGATAATTGAACTGTTTCAAAAATTAAGATGCAATGGTAGAGTTCAATGACCTGTGACAATAATGCATTTCAGATGCCTTTCATTTGCATCTCTTCATAATCTTTCAATTATGAAGCTTTTTACATATCTATCATGAAATCTTGGTAGCTAAACAAATGAACATAAAACTCCGTGTTCAGATTCCCACATTAGCAACGTGGTAGTATGAACACTAGGGCTGGGTTGCACCATCTGACTTTAACTTTCACAAACGTCAAAAATCTGTCAAAATCCATACAAAAACACCGGTTATCGTTATAGTTACTGTCAAAGTCAGCCTTAGATGTGTGAGTTTCACTGTCACGGTTAAGGTGTGTTATAGGCGTAAATGTAACAAATATTTCGGGTGAAGCTCGCTTCCACCTTCAGCCTGACCATCAGGTGAGATGCAGAGCAAGAGCTTCCTTGTTGTGAATAAAAAAAGACCTTGAGATAATATATGAGTTCCACTGTTACGGTTAAGGTGTGCTATAGGCGTAGAGGTGTGTAGGGCAAGAGCATCCTCGAGGATATAAAAAGTAGTTTCCATCAGGTGAGATGCAGGCTGCCTCGTTGTGGATAAAAAGACAGTACCTTTGGTGTCGATGGGTGTCGGGGCTGCCAGACTGGGGATCTCGGGCTGCGGAGGCTGCACCCTCGGGCCGGGCCAGGTGGTGGTGCTGCCGGCGCAGTACCGGGGCCGCGCCGCCGGGCAGCCGTCCGCCACGTCGCGGAGGGTGGACGCGTCTGCTGAGTACTCTGGGGAGGTTAAGAGGATATCAGGGACCGGGGACAACTCTAGGCTTGTGAAATCCTCAGGTTCTTAAAGGGAAGATTTAGGAACTTGTCTACTATGGAACTATTCCCACCTCTCGTTCCCACCGCTGCAACTCCTGTGTAGCTAGGATCTACAGACTTTGTCTACTCTGGAGACTTTTGAACTTTGGCTCTTAGGGAGAAAGTACTAAGGCAGTAGTAGTAGATTGGTCGCCTGGCTACATAGAGCAATTGTGACTTTTTTGTTAATTGGAATTTTTAAGGCAAGTAAGTATGTGTATGAGAAGATACACGGGACAGAGGGTTAATTGATGGTAGCGATTATCACCACCGCTCACTAACAACCATACTATAACAGCTGCCAACCTGTTGTACTGATGAAGTGGATTGCATTTGAGTGCCTCGCTAGCGTTACTAGATATTACAAATGAAGATAATTAAATAGGTATAGGTACATTAACAACATAAATAGTTGCTTAAAAATAGGAGCACAAATATACATACAAATCTTATCGAGAGAGTCATTATGTTATCTAACGAAAATCCTTTGGCATTGGTAATTTCCAATAATAGCCACATTCAATCAACGATAAAAACAAACCAATAAATCCCGACCTTTCATTGTTATTCAACGTGTAAAAACGTGCATCCTTTGTCAGATCATAAACAGTTCGTTTGGAGTGCCAATTGAATGTTTATAGAGCAGCGATTTTTGAAATATCTGACAGGTTCACGGTTAGAAGACCCCGGGCTAGTTGGAAATATGGGCTTTTTTTATCTCTCGTCGTGCAGTGCGAGTGCACCGAGGGCCGCAGCCTTTGGCTCGTTATTTATTGCCTATTTTGAGGTCAAGCCGCGGTCTAATGAACGAATGAGTAATGCGTGCTGATACGGCCCTCGACTCTGTTTGTTATAAACGTTACTGTTAGATTAACACATTCAGTGAATGATAAATGGACGTTGCGATATTATTGATATCATGACGGCAGGACGGCGTGCCACCACGAAGGTAAGTACTATTCAAACTAGTTTTCAGATCAACATCGAGCTTTTACAGTAGATAATCTTGGTAAGTCAGGACTAGGACAGGATTGTGTGTCTTTAAAAAGAAACTACCAAGTCTATGCAAAGCCTTCCGAGTTAATACAGGGCGATACTCACTTCTGGTGGTCGATGATTGGAGCAGGCTCGCCGTTTGTCCGCCGGGGAAGGTAGCGTTTCTCTTGTGTCGACCCTGAAACAATAAAACAAATCCTGTTAACACCTCAAAATCATATAAAGCTTTATTTAGTTTAGTTTGTCTTTCTCGTGGGAGGATTGTAATGCGTGTAGAAAAGATAGAATGAGTGGCGTAGGCAGTAGGCACCCCTAAATTATTAATGGCCAGAATGAATCCGGTACCATGATCGCGAAAAGACATCTAAGCTATCGTTTTTCTCTTAACTCTACACAGGAAAACCACTACAAACAAATATCGCAGAGACGTTAGTAACCCCTAGATAAGGAGATGCAATCTTGACTAGATCAATTAAGGTTTTCCTCAACCAAATACATCTTCATCGACGGCCGCTTTTCCTACGTTCTAACTGGCCACATACCAGTGGGAAAACGCGGGTAGAAATTGTCGGACATCGGTTAATTGTTCGAAAGCTTGGCGTCGATATGGCCGATAGACCCGATGGACTAATTGCCGTTCGCGGGAAATTACCGTTCACAATTGGATCTCGCTTTGAAGGTAGTTTGCAAGTTTCTACAACGTTGGAAGTTGTTGTTGCATCTAGTATCAACCCTGTTGTCAGACTGCAGGACTAGAGTGATCTTCTACTGTATAGATTTCACTAACTGACAAAGTGACTGAGTTTCTTCCGCCACTTCTTGTCAGCACCAGCCATATGTTGTCCCGAAGTGGTGGTAGGGCAAGCTATATTTGGGACGTGTATAAGAGCCCTGGAAAAAGCCTACTGAATAAACTATTTGATCTGATTTGAATACCTATAATAAAGACCTACAGTAATAGTAGTATTAGTAGTTCGTTAATGCCAATTTAAGACGCTTCAGCAGCCGATCGTAAAATTAGCAATTTGTCAGTTTATTAACCTGTGAATATGTGCATTTATAATTAAGGGATCGATACACATAAGCCGAGAACTTAAAAGTAATTGCTGCGAACGTAAAACAACAATAAAAGTGCGCCGGCGCCTCGTCCCGTTACCGTAGAGATGGGCCGATTGCGCGCTGACAGCGGGGGTCGCTGAACTGATATATTGCTTGATTTTATAGATACAAGCGTTTTGTAAATAATACCATCTGGTTTTGCATCTGCTTTTAAATTTAAAGCACAGACAACACATCAAACTATATTAATTTGTTACAAAACGGGGCTGTTTTGTACCAAAATTAAGATGCCATAGTGTTTACATTGATGTTCGTACCTACAACATTCAAGCTACTGGCGAATTGTGGGTCGAGTTTTTTGGTAACAACGTGGAGAGACTATTCGAGGTGTTGGTAATTGCTATATGGAAAGATTCCCTTTCTTAACCATCTGGTCAGATAGCTCAGATAGTTGCGTTCATCCAAAGCCGTTCCGTGATCATAGATTTATGAAGTAAACAAACAAAGTAAGAAAAAGAATTAAGACAATTACGATGACTTAAAATAAAGCCCAATTTTGTATTAGGATTGTATATTTGTATTTTTCTGGACATTTGAAGAACCATATGACTAGAGAGTAGAGATTTTGAAATTAGATAATAGGCGAAAAAATCTCACAGACGAATTAAAAATTACGTTCAATACAGGTACAGATTTTTCTCGTAGGTTATCGATCATCCGACGAGAAAAAATAACTATTTACAGCTAAAATATCATCAATGTCCCTATTTGAATACTGTCTCATGCCTATAATTACATCTTAGCTTAGTAATAATTTAATAGCTTGTTTGTTAATAAGCTTAACTATCACTTGTGCCTTTTAACTCTATAATAATATTAAGTGGCTGATAAAATAAGGGTTGATGATAGTGCCATCTATAGTGAGTATTAGAGTCTTAGTTTAAAAGGATGCCAACGATTTAAATGTCACCCTGTATATTCTATAGGCAGGTGGGCAAACCCCCCAAAAATTCAAGCTAGAAGAAACTATACAATCATAAGATACAAAAATATAAATACAGAAAGTTACAGATAATTTTAAGAGTAACCTTTGGTCCGATCCAATTAGATATTGATTTGCAAGTCTAGCATAGCCCTATAAAGGCAAAATGGTCAGATCCATGTCCCTCTTCAAGATTACCTTAATAATTTTTATGAATATTTAATTTTATGCTGCTTAGGTACATATTTTTAATGGACATAACAGTTAACGCACTCACGACATTTCATTTCGTGTATATTTAATTTATTTAATAACTACCATGATCGTGCTCATAAGTGTTATTATAGAGCGGTAAAAAGCTATGTTGAAATCTGTTTGTAAGGCTTAGAGTACATGCATTCATAATCTTAATGCTCTCATAACAGATGCACTGGATTCTTTCAAATTCTATAACATTTTCTTTCTGAATCTGGAAATAATGTAGATCGAACCTAAAGGGGTAATTTTCGGAACTAGTCTGGAAAATTCCTTAATGTTTTGACTGTAGTCATCCTTTGTGTATTTAAAATAAAAAAAGGTAAGGTAGGTTTTCAGATAATCTGGAAGAAATTAATGTATGTCGAAGTTAAAGGGGTATTTTTGGAACTATTGTTTGTCTGGGATATTGCTATGCTACCTAAATGTCTTAAGTGTAGGTAGAGTCATTTAGCCTTAATATTATGTAAAATAAAAGAAGTAGGCAATTGATTGTAATGTACTACATTAATAACAGGCTTATATTGTTTGTTTGGCGTAGGAGTGTTAGACTGTTAGACATAAAATATGATAAATATGAATAATTTCGCGTTGAATACAATTAACCTCATTTGCTACCTGTAATCCTATGATAATAGCCAAGTTGTAAATCAGCCGCATTGTATGGAACTTGGCTTGGCATCATTAAAATTTGTAATTCGGTTTATGATTTAATAAAATCGATGTAAGTTTCTTAGATTATATGGTTTAAGCTGCATTTATAGTTTTGTAGTCTTGTATTATACTTGCTGGAATGATAAGGTATCTTTTTGTGAGACAAGGTCGTATTAAGATTGTATTATTATGGTAATGAATACTTGACTGTGACAAGTCTAGGTACATAAGTCATCAATAGGTGACAAACTTTGACTATATTAGTTTAAATTTAGCCTTACCAAAGCATTGATATCCCCTTGTGTGGATAAAAAAATACTGGTCCAATTTGATATCTTTGTGCTTGATAGCCCATTTTATCGAGGAAGGCTTTTAGGCTATTAACATCACCCTACAGACAATTGGGACGGAGTAAAGAAAAATGTTGCAAAACCGGAAATATTATTCAAACCATTTTCACGCGTACGAAGTCGCGGGACAGCTAGTACATTATATGCTTTGCAGTTATGTATAAGGCGAATAGGTATATTAATTAGTTACTATTAGTACGAGCTTATATTGATAATTTCTTCGGATAACAAAGAAATTTCTCAAGCGTTGTTAATTTCCTTTGAAGGCCTCCATATTAGTGTATCGTGGTATCGTATCTGTAACACTGACACTGCTCCGGGGTCAGCGACCTTGGCCGGTGGTCACGAACTTGATGCAAATGTTTGGTAACGCGTGTTGGTCCAAATGTTGGCCAGCTTTTTGGTTCGAATGAGAAACTTTTTTTGTTGCATGTTTCGTTATTTCCTCATTCCTGCAAGAGCTAAAATCTTTGAAAATATGAATAAAGTGTGTGCAGAACACAAACTGAAAATTAGTGTTTTGAATAAGTCAGAGGAGGGTAAGAGGAAGTGTTACTGGCACAAAATATTTTAAATATTTTGTCTATTTAAATTCAATTGTTTTATTTACATTTGATTGGAGGATGTCTAAACACATAGGCTTTTTGCTCAACAAATAATCGAACGGGAAGTAGCGTGGACAATTATAAACACATCACATAGTGTTACCTATGTTTGCATCGTGTTTCTCTTAGAACTAATACCAATTAAGTGCCGTGATTGCCTCGTGCTGGGCAGGGCTGCCACGAAATGGAAAAAGCTTTATTTTTTTTGTATACAATGATTTCATGAAAAAATATTCTTATCAGATTAAAAGTATTTCACGTTTGAGTAGCTTGAGCTAGTGTGTGAAACTGATTAGCAGAAAAAATATAGTCCGATATCAAGGGTAAAAAAAAAAATATTTTGTATTCCAACGTTAGAGCTAGAGAATCATAAATGATAATTCGTTAAAACATGATTTTCCTAATAATGAAGATCTATGTAAATAAACAAATACTTTAACTTTTACCCCCCCATAAATCGGTCATACCTCCATCGTCATTCCGTAAGTCTATGGAGCACAGGAGAATATAAAGTTAAATTCACGTCCAAAACATGTAGGCTGGGTTGCACCATCTTACTTTAACTTTGCCAAACGTCAAAAATCTGTCAAACTCCATACAAAACACACCGGTTATCGTCATAGTTACTGTTAAAGTAACGTGGTGCAACTCAGCCTTATTATTCCTTTACTAAACAGTGAAAATAAAAAGCCAGCTCCTTAATCTGAGGTAGCCCTGCATCGGACGCACTTCCTCAATATTAATCGCCGCAGTATTTCTTCTTCAGCCCATGTTTGGATTTCATCAGACGCATGCGACGCCCAATGCCTTTTCCGCGTGCGGCAAAAAACCAACGTTAATTGTGTACTAGTTCGAAAAACAAACTAGAGATGGCTCTGCTTGGAGACTATAAAAAAGTTTAGAAACTAACTGCGGTGTTTGTGAAAGAGAAGACGATAATAAGCGAAAATTATCTATATTAATTTAAAGAGGAAAAAGATTGTTTGTTTGTATTTAATAGGCTTTGAAATTTTCCCTAGTAGCATTCTAAATTATTTCTGATGAACATAGGCGGTACGAAGTTCGCCGAAGAAGAAGAACAATCAATAACCCGAAAAAACAAAGCACGATCTGTTTTACTTGATTACGAGTGAGTACCTATAATTTGAAATGTTTAACTATTGGATATTTTAGTTACATTATGTGCCTTTGTTTAAAAAAATAGATCGCTGTGCAAGCGCAAGTATAACATATTTTTAATGTGTTAAAAGCTATTTAAATTAAGCACATGTAG